AAGAAGCAAGCAGCCCAATGAGCAGGGTGTGGCTTCATAGATCTTGCTAGCCATCTACTACGGTCATTGACACTCTCACTGCTTCGGCGTTCCAAAGCCAGCTACCAACCGGTATACCTCTTCAATCACATCCCGCCCCAAGCGTCGCTGCGCGCTATTCAGCTCGCAGATGGTACCTCCTCCACCGGGACCGGGTGCTGCGGCGGCCCCGAGCAGTATCTTGCCTCTTGAGCTGATGGACAGGTGCATCGGATCGAGCGTTTGGATTATCATGAAGAGCAATGGCAGGGAGCTCGTAGGGACTTTGAGAGGCTTTGATGATTACGTCAGTGAGTACAAGCTATATGCGCCTCGTTTGAAGACCTACGGGGCATATCATGGAGATGCTCGGCTGCGAGAGCCGGTTTGCGATCCACTGCGATTGCGCTTGCGCTCGGACGCACCGGGCAAAAAGGCCGAGAAGAAAGGAAGCGACAGGGCGTGACCTGTGCTCGAAGCATCGCAAGCCTGCTAGATTGGCCTGCGCTGTGCTGACTTGCCTTCTCATGTCTAATGCAGACATGGTGTTGGACGATGTAACCGAATGGGAGGGCCATGGTGAGAGCAGAAAGAAGACAAAGTTGAAGCAGACCCTCTTGAATGGTGCCAACATCTGCATGGTGAGTATGCCTGCTCAGCAAAGATTGACAAGCAAGATGCAAAAGCTGGGAATTCGAGGAAAGCTGATGGCTCCGTCGATCTGTTTCATTCACAGATGATTCCAGGGGGAACAGGACCAGATTCATGAAGTGATCCGCCGCACTCCGCACACCGCGATCAAAGGGTCCTGCATGCAACAAACGGGGAGCTCATGCGTAGGACTCTGTGATTTCGACGACACTCAAGGGAATATGCGGCTGCCAGGTTTGCTGTTAGACACACAGTGTGAGCCAGCTTGCTTCAAATTCAATCGCCAAAGCCGGGAGCGCCAGACACACCATCACTCTCAGCAGCGCCAGCAACCCCCACTATGTTGGTCACGCAAGGCGGCGAAAGGAAGATCGAGTGTTCATTTGAGGTGGCCACGGCAAGAGGGTCCAAAGAGCTGTTCGAGCGACGTCACCCTTCCTTTGAACCCAATGACGAATCCATTGCTTTATGCTCACACTAAATTGCCTTGGGTGAGGCGAGCTATGCTTGGCGGAGTGGAGTGGGTCAGTGACGGAAGCCTCGTGCCCTCCAAGGATCTGCACCTGATCATCTCGAGACGCGTTTGTCGAGGAACTTCCTTGAGCTTACTGTCACGCGGTCTGAGGGGTGAGAGGGGGGCCGCGCCAACCTCTCTTTCGACTTTTTGCGGGTGAGGGATCTCTCTGCCTGTCCTGGATCACATATCTATTCCTCGTCCAAAGCTGGGAAGCTCCATTGCGTCGACATACGCATGCTTTATATCGGCAAAAGCTCATCGACGACGCCGTGTTTCTGGTGCCGTGCTGAACACCGAAGCGGTTGACCAGGCGACGTGACGTGACGCGAGCTGCCTACGTCTTGGTCATTCGGGCCTATGGCTATCACGGAGATAGCAGCGTTCAGTCGAGGTTTGATCAGCCACAGTTGCAGCTAGCGTTCTTTTGA